CAGGAGGCGGCGCCCCCGGGTGGCCGGCCCCGGCATGGAGAAACGGGCTGCCGCGGGCCTGGAGGGGGCCCCGGGCGCCCGGGCGCAGCTCGCCGTCGTCTGTCTGGGTGAGTGCGCCGCGCTGCTCCCGGCTGGACCTCCGGCCTACTCCTTCCCGGGATAGGCCATTCCATGGCTCCTGCGCGGAGGCCTCGGAAACGGCGGGGACCCCTTGGGGCTAGGCCCTTCTCTTCCCGAGCGTCCCCCAGCAGTCCCTGGGAGCTCGCCCTGCAGGCCCAACCCTGGTACCCGAGCCCCGGCCCCTCCCGGATCCGGAGAGCGCCTCGGCGGGCGGCCGCGGAGGATGCGCAGCGCGCTGGGCGGTCAGTGTGTGCCCGCGGTCTGCCGGGCTCGGCGACGGTGGTTTTCAGCGGGCTTACTGCGCTTGCTTGGCGGCGAGCCGGACCTCTCCGGTTGCGGACAAAGGCGAGGCCGGCCCCGCTGCTCCTTAGCCAAACTGTTTCCTGTTGAGTTGGGGTGAAAGGAGGGGGCGGTTGCCGACCTGGAAAAGTTGCCGTAGGAAGGAGGTAGAGTAGGCGGAGGAGACAGCCTGGAAAATGACCCGTTTTCCCTTTGTGTCATCTCAGACCCAGCCCGGCAGGCCCGCTGGCTCTGGGTGGTGTGTTGGAGGAGGGCCGAGGAACTGGGGTATCAGGGGTTGGAGACTGGGAGGGGTTAAACCCTCATCCCACATGTCTCTGTTATTTACCACTGGAAGGAGGGAGGCCATCATGAGAGCTGAGGGCTACCAGGGGACGTCGTGAACACTGATGAGGGCTCTGGAACATGACAAACCAACCAACCAACTTGTCATTTTAAGCTGCGCCCACTGCCCTGTCCACACTCGCAAGAGTTTGGAGTTAGAGGAAGTCCCTGCCTTGTCCCAGCAGGGTGAATGGATCTAAATAAGGAAGTGAGCCCTCCAACCCCAGCATCCACCCCCAGTCTGGTAATGGCTACTAGGTTTGTCCCATGCTGAGCTTGTCTGGAGAACGGCCCCCTGCATTCTCAAGATTCTCTCTGCTCAGGAAATGCAGTGTTAGTTCTGCTCAGCAGAGCCCCGGGCGCCCCGACCCGGAGTGAGGGCAATTGCAGGTGGGCTTGACCCCTCCCGAGATGCTCCATGCTTCTGTGGGCATCCTGGGTGATGGGGGGGTGCATCTTGAACCCTGGGAAGCACTCCAACCATCCGTCCATATCCTCATCCTTGGTCCTGTGGGCAGAACCTGTGTAGGTAGGTGGGTCTTGAAGTCAGTTTAGTGCCCAGACTCAACATCAGCATGGTACAGCCAGGAGACCTTCAGCCGAGAACCAGAGCACTGCCACTCCGCTACTCCGGGGCTTTTGGTTTCTTCCTTGTAAAACAGGAACCTGTTGTCCCCCCTTCCTTGGCCATTGGGTGGGCAACACACTGGCAGAGCCTCTTGGAAGAAACTTTTCAAGGTGGGACGAACCCTCCCGCCAGGCAGGGCTGGGAGTTTGGGCTGTCTCCCCTAATCTGGGCTCAGCCAGGACCCCTCTCTGATAGGTAGTTCAGACCAAGTCTGACCTACCACACACCTTCCCCTCTCCCCACCGAGTCCGAATTCCCAGGCATGGGGTGATTAGTCCAAGTACTCTTGACTGTGGATATACTGAACGGGGGTGGGAATCTCCATTGCAGTGCTCTAGGCCTTGCCTGGTGAGACACAGAAAAGCCACCACCCACTGAGCCCTCTTTGTGTCCCCACAGTGAACTTCTTCCTCTCCGGGAGACTCAGCAGTGCAGTTCCGGCCATAGGTAAGTGATCCATCTTCGCCTTCTGCCCCACCCCTCCTCCCTGCCACAGAGGACAGACCATCAGGGGTCCTGGCTCCACCCCTGAGGCTATCTAGGGTTACTCTGACTTGGAATAGACTCGCTGGCACTGGGTTTGGTTTTTTAGGGGATTCGATTTTGAGCAAAGGTAAGCATTTCACTCAGCTTCAGTTTCGTCCTCTGTAAATGGGTGAAATAGGGTTAGCACTGGACTTGGAGTCACAAGGTTGGCAGTTTAAACCCTCCAGCCGCTCCTTAGAAACCCTATATAGCGTCTCTGAGTTGGAATTGACTCGATGGCAAAACATCAAACAAATACCACCACCTCACAGCGTAGTTATTAGACTAAATGAGCAAATGAGGCCCGGGGTCTGGCACACAGTGGCTTAAAACCACTGGCAAACTGTAAAGGGTCCCACACAGGGAACGGACCTTCTGGAGGTGAGGGGCTCTCTGAGGTTGCCATGATGTGTCTGCCACTCGTACCTCTTGGTGTATCTGTTCATCAACTGCCTGTCTTTGGGTTCTGGCCTAGAGTCTAGCATAGACTGGTAGGAGCTGGTGGGGCAGCCTATGTAAGTTCTCTGTTGAGGGGTCTGCCAGGAACCAGAAAATGGAGCGATCTAGCAAGGGCTTCTGTGAGCAGGGACCCTCTGACTTTGTTTGCTGTGCTCTTGAAAGGGGGAGGCACTTGGGATTGCTAGTTCTACTCAGGCCTTTTTGGAACAGACACCCACTGAGGTTGGTTCAGTTGTTGGGACCAAGAGCTCACAGAAAGGGATCTCTGCTGGCCTCAGTCACTGGCAACAGGATTCCAGGGTCTACACAAGCTGCCCTCACTGCCATTTCACTCCCAACTCAGGCTCCTCAGGCTCTCTGCACACTAGCTTTGTGCTCTGGGCTGCCCAGGGCCTTGCCTTGCCTTGCCTAGCCTTGACTCTTCCCACAGCTACCTGCCCATCTGCCCATCCCAACTTCCAGGAGAAGACTGAGCTCCGGGCTAACTCCTCAGCAGGTACAGGAGTGGGAACACCTCCTCCTCCCAAATGCATCTGCCACATGCACTTGTTAGAAGTGGGACAAGTACCACACATAGAGCCAGGAAAACAAAGACCTAGAACTAAGGCCATGCATTTGATTGTTGGTAGCCTTTGAGACTTCAGGACCCAGCGTGTCCATGTTACCCATCATGGTGTCAGTGCCCAGAGCCTCCAGGGTTGTAGTCACATGCACATGGCCTAGGGCAGGGTCTGGGGCCCTAACACTCCGGAGGTCTCCCTCTGATCCCAGTAGGGCTGATGGGAGAAATCGAAAGCAGCTTCTGTAAACACTGAGGTCCTTGGTGTTCCTTCCAGGTTCCTACTGTGAGGAGCCTGGATCAGGAATTGGTCTCCAGCTGCTTCCTCCCCACCCCTGCCTGGGCTCAGTCCAGGTGGGCTGCCTGAGCACTGCCCGGGTATGTCAGACACGGACTGGGTTAGGAGGCCCACCCCTACACCTCAAGCCTGGACTTTGCTGCACAGCCATCGGGGCCCCTGGGAAGTGGGCCTGGTCAGGGTCTGCAGGCAGCTGTCCACTCACCTGGCCATTTCCCGGAGTGCCAGAGCTCAGACTCCATATCATCAGACTCCAGCAGGCGCGTTGTGGAGAGTATTGATTGCCTCTGGAAATTGTATCTGTTAGCTGTGCTTCATCAGGCCTCGCCAGTGTCCTCTCAGGAGGTCTTAGTGAGTCTGTGCACCAGGCATTAAGGACACTGGCTTAAAAGAACCTAGTCATCCCTTGTCTACTTGAGCAGAAATCTTGGCCCCCAGTTCTACTTCCAGCTAAAGCTCAGACACCCCAAAGTTCTCAATTCTGCACCAGTAGCTCCAGTGTGACTGTCTCCAACAAACACAGGTGTCCAGCTCTCTTCAGTGTCCACTACCACAACAGCACCTTGCCAGGACCCTGTCCTCCCGGGGCGCATGCCTGGTGGACTTCCTGCCCCACTCCTATATCTCATTCACACTGTCTTCTGAGAAATGGCCACCTGCCTCCACATTTCCCTTCCACCCCTTGAGACCCATTGACTCCATTTTATTAATGGGTAACCAAGACACCAAGTGGAACAGTGTCTTTCCCTGACCAGTGCTTGAGTCTTGGGGTGGTATGCCAGGAAGATGGTAAGGTCTGTCATCACAGAGAGGGATGGAGATGGGTTGTCTGAGCCAGTGGCACCTCCAGGCCCACAGCCAAGCAAGGTCCTGTCAAGAGCCCCCGATCAGAGCTCCCAGCTCCCTGAATAGGCCAGACTGATGGCTGCAGTAATAAAGTCTCTTGGAAAAGAGTAAACAGTTAACCAATTGACAGTGGTGCCTTTGAGGTGGGAGTTTCTGGAGCCGCTCTGGGGACCTTCAGCAGTGAGGTAGTTTAGTCCCATCATCTGCTCCTGGCTATGTTGGTGGTCTGCAGAGACAGGCCTCCTGACCCATGAAGAGGGGCCAGACATAGGTTTATGAGAGGAAGTCTTCTGACCGAGATGATGCCAGAGGAGAGAAAGTCAGACGTGGCTGCCTAGTTCTCCTTGGCTGATATTAGTGAGAAGTATGGCCACATATACCCCAACAAAGAGACAAGTTGATGCCCATCCCATACCACCTGTGGCAGGTGTTCCCTGCTCTGCTCTCTCGCAGGGTGGTATGAGCAGATTGCTCTCAGCTGTTAACCTAAAGGCTGGCAGTTTGAACCCATCCAGAGACCTGAGTCAGTCTACTTCCGCTGGAGAAACCATAGGGGGTGGCAGTACCGCTCTGTAACACAGGGAATGGCCAAGAATTAGAGTCGATTAGCAATGGCTTTGTTGAGTTTGGCTTATGTCTTTGAGGCTGAGGGTCCAGGTGAAGGAAGGGTGGTTCCCACCCATGTTGAACTCACTGCCTTGAGCTTAGGAGACAATGTGGAGTGGGGTACACCCCCAGCCATGCTGGGCCTTTCTGTCCTGTGTACCTGCTGGGAGAAGCATTCTGGATCAAGCACCTCATGCCTCCTATCATGCCTTACTGTCCCCAGCACCTCCTGTGGGCCAGCACTCAGTGTCTTTTGAGGTCCCTATGGCTGGGAAACTGACCTGCAGGAGGAACCAGGCTCCTTGGTGAAGTGCATTTGCTTGTGCGGTGTCCCGAGCACTCCGCCCTCTCTGTTTAGTCTTTACCACCCTGAGCCCCCCAGGGCCTGCACCTGCTGTGTATCTTGCTGACCTGGGCTATTGAAGTTGAGTATTGGGGTTGAAGAGATGTTCCTGTTACTGTTCTTGGAAGCTCTTTCGAGCTGTTGGTGGAGGTTAGTCACCATTTTGGAATCCCTGGCCCTCCACAGTTATGGAGGGCCACGCAGCCTGTGAGTGGCTGAGCCAGGCTTCACCCTCATCCTTGGGTAGGCTCAGCTCTCCATTCAGACTGTAAACCAATAGCATTTATGGAGTGCCAACAGCATGCCCCACCAAGGATAAAGGAAGTACATCACATCAGCCCTGTCCCGGTCTGAGCCACTCTTACCCTCACAGCCGCTCCAACCACTTCCCACACGGGTCCATCTGATGTTTATAGCCAGCTGCCACCAAGGCAGGGCCCATTTTACAGATGGAGAAAGCAAGACTCAGGGAGACAAGCAGTGATCCTGTGCCACAGCCCAGCGACACCACCTTCCACCTGGAGAGCCCAAGAAGTGACAAGGCCCTCTAGGACTCCACAAAGACAGGGGCTGTGCCGGGTTTGGCTCAACACCATGCCCAATGCATGGTTGTTGTTGTTAAGTGCCGTTGAGTCGGTTCCAACCCATAGTGACCCTGTATAGGGTTTCCGAGGAGTAGCTGGTAAGCTTGAACCGCCAACCTTGCAATTCAAACGGCTTTGCAGTCTGGCGCGTTAACCCACAGCGTTACACCGGGACTCCCGATGTGTGGTAGTTGTATTATACATCCATCCGTGAGTGAACTGGCCAGTCCAAGGGCCTGTTTAACACTGAGAAGCAGGAGGTTGGACTGAAGCCCCTTCTGTTAGGGGTATTCTTCTTTTTTGCTGACCCTTCACTTTACCAAGCATGATGTCCTTCTCTAGGGACTGGTCCCTCCTTAAAATATGTCTAAAGTATGAGAGATAAAGTCTGGCCATCCTGATGCTTCTAAGGAGCATTCTGGCTGTAATTCTTCAAACACAGATTTGTTTGGTCTTCCGACAGTCCATAGTACTTTTCATATTCTCCTGCAACACCACAACTCAAATGCACTAATTCTTCTATGGTTTTGCTTATTCACTGTCTGACTTCACATGAGGCTATTGAAAATACCATGGCTTGGGTCAGGTGCACTTTAGTCCTCAAACTGACATCTTTGCTCTTGAACACTTTCAAGAGGTGCAGCAGATTAGCCTAATACAATATTTTGTTTGATTTCTTGACTGCTGTTTCCATGAGTGTTGATGGTTTATACTCAAGATAAAATTCCATTTATAGCCAAGATAAAATCCACATTCCATACAGACCCAGCCTGTGTTGCCAGCTGGGGAATCGGCATAAAGTCTGTCTACCACCCTTTCCCCCAAGCCTGTGGGTTTCACAGAGCTGGGCACACCCAGCATGCCTGTCACAGTGTGTGGTGCAAAGTGGTGGTGGTGCTGATGCATCATGGAGCAGGTTCTGACCCATAGTGACCCTATATAGGGTTTCCGAAACTGTAAATCTTTACAGGAGCAGAAAGCCTAATCTTTCTCCCATAGAGCAGCTGGTAAATTCGAAATGCTCACCTGCTAACCAGCCCAACTCATAAGCCACTATGCTGCCAGGATTCCTTGGTGCATCGTAGTTGTTGTGAAGCGCCATTGAGTTGGTTCTAACTTATAGCAACCTTATATAATTCTCTGAGGAGCAGCTGGTATGTTTGAACTGTCAACCTTGGAAGTGCCACTTGACCTGGGGAGCTGTTGGTACACTTGTTCCCAGTTTTGTGGGAGAGGGTGTTGGGAGAGGAGGGCCTAGAGTCTGGTGCATTTAGTTGGGGGCGCCCAGCTCCTGACACCATTTCTGTGAACTGTGGGCTTCTTGCTCTGGGTCATGATCATCCATGGCCTTGAGCTGACACTGGGGGAAGCCTGTGCTGAAGCCGTGGGCACTCAAGTGTTCCCCCCACCCTACTTCCCATCAGACGGTGGGCCGGCATTTCTCAGCCTCATCTCTCAACAGCTGCCTGTAGCGGGAAGCTGGAGCAGCACACGGAGCGGCGTGGTGTCATCTACAGCCCGGCCTGGCCCCTCAACTACCCGCCAGGTACCAACTGCAGCTGGTACATCCAGGGCGACCGTGGAGACATGATCACTATCAGGTAAGGAGCCTCCCCATGTGCCAGCGTGTGACTGTGTGTGAGAGTAGATTGTCAGTGCACATGTGTGAGTGTGCACACGTGGACAAGCATGTGTGAGTATATGAGTGTGTGTATGCACACGTGAGCAGGTATGTGTGAGTGTGAGCGCATGTATGCACACGTGAGCAGACAGATGTGAGTGTGAGCGCACGTATACACACATGGACAGGGATGTGTGAGCATGTACATGTGTGTATGCACATGTGGACAGGCCTGTGTTAGTATGTGAGTGTGTGCATGCACACGTGAGCAGACATGCATGAGTGTGTGAGTGTATGTATGCAGGCATGAGCCACCCCACATATGTGTGCATGGGTACATGTATGAACACATGAACAGGCATGTATGAGCACATGGTGTTACAGCACATGTGTGATCCCACATCAGCAGGTGTGGAGTGCAGGTGCGAGCAGATGCAGGTATGTGTTGTGTGTGGTATGAGAGCATATGTGAATATGTGTAAGCTATCAGCATGTGTGTGTGAGCACATGGGTGTGCCTAGTTCACTGGGTCTGGCTGTACTGAGCCTCTTTTGTAGAGTGTGGGGTCCGCCTGTCACTTCAGTTCTTCTTTGGAGGGGAGGCCTGGGGACCGGAGGCATGGTCCAACTGCCTCTGAGTTGGCAGAGATTGCCTCACTGTCCATCCTGCAGGGATGACTTGAGACCAGACTGAATACCTGAAGTATATTTGAAAGGGACCCAGGGAGGTGTAGGCAGTCAGGGAGTCAGGCAGAGGCCTGGGTGCTCAAGTTGAAGGGAGTTTTGTGGGGACACAGAGGAAGATGGAGTGAGGAAGTTAGCTAGTGGACTTCAGCGGCTGGAACTCCCAGCCTGGGGAGAGGTTAGGGCATCTGAATGTGGGTTCTTGGGTCTCCCCGCTCAGGGGAGAGTGTTGGGGAAGGGAATGGCCCATAAACTGGATCCCTGTGACTGCCCCCCACATTGGCTTTGTGGTGGTGGCTGCTGGTGAGCTGATGGAGGCTGGGAAGGATGCGGTGAGGCTACAGTGTGGGCACACTGCCCACTGGTCATGGTTCTTCGTGGAGCTGCCGTTGGACCCTGGGGTGGTAGCAGGAGGTCCCACCTAGTGACTGGGAGGCAGGCAAGTTTGGGATATCAGGGATAGTGGGGGCAACGGCCAGGCTGTCCTCGCCTTGAGCTCCAGCTCTGAGCACATTTTGCTCATCCTTGGCTCTGTGGATCTCACCTCTGCCCTGCCACCCATGTATGCTTTCCCCTCCTCCTTTCCTCAGCTTCCGCAATTTCGACGTGGAGGAGTCCCACCAGTGCTCCCTGGACTGGCTCATGCTGGGTCCAGCAGCTCCACCCCGCCAGGAGGCCTTCCGGCTCTGTGGCTCCGCCATCCCACCCGCCTTCATCTCTGCCCGAGACCACGTCTGGATCTTCTTCCACTCTGATGCCTCCAGCTCTGGCCAGGCCCAGGGCTTCCGTCTCTCGTACATTCGAGGTGACGCTGGGGCAGGGCAGGGTGGATGAATCTGGACCCTGGAGTACTGGGTACATGTCTGTGGGCTTCTGAGACCAGGGCAGGGTCCTCCACTAACTCCCTGGTCCCTATAGGTAGAGGACAGCGTGGTGTGGCTGGTCATGCTGCTGTCTCTGGAGGTCACTGGGCTGTCATAGACCCCACTTCTCAGACTTGGCTAGAGTGGGGACCTTACCCTGGGCTCAAGTCAGGGACTGAGCCCACCTGAATATTTGAGGGGTCTCTCCCCCTCAGGTAGCCATGGAGAGGCAGCAAAGGGTCCTTCTCCTTGGGTCCTGTGTCTTTCTGAGTCATGCCTTCCTTGAGTGGTTGTGAAGCCGGGCTGGGAGGAGGAAGGCCCCGCTGCCCCTGACGTGTCTCCCCACGCCCCTTGTCCTCCAGGCAAGCTGGGCCAGATGTCCTGCCAGGCTGATGAGTTTCGCTGTGACAATGGCAAGTGTCTGCCGGGCCCGTGGCAGTGCAACACAGTGGATGAATGTGGGGATGGCTCGGATGAGGGCAACTGCACGGCCCCAGCCTCAGACCCGCCGGGTAGCCTGTGTCCGGGCGGCACCTTCCCATGCAGCGGGGCGCGCTCCACACGCTGTCTACCTGTGGAACGGCGCTGCGATGGCTCGCAGGACTGTGGCGATGGCTCCGACGAGGCTGGCTGTCCAGATCTGGCATGCGGCCGGCGGCTGGGCAGCTTCTATGGCTCCTTTGCCTCCCCAGACCTGTTTGGGGCAGCCCGGGGGCCTTCGGACCTCCACTGCACGTGGCTGGTGGACACCCAGGACCCACGGCGTGTGCTCTTGCAGCTGGAGCTACGGCTGGGTTATGATGATTATGTGCAGGTGTACGAGGGTCTAGGGGAGCGCGGGGACCGCCTGTTGCAGACACTCTCCTACCGCAGCAACCACCGGCCCGTGAGCCTCGAGGCTGCCCAGGGTCGCCTCACTGTGGCCTACCACGCACGTGCCCGCAGCGCCGGCCACGGCTTCAACGCCACCTACCAGGTGAAGGGCTACTGCCTCCCTTGGGAGCAGCCGTGTGGCACCAGCAGCAGTAGCAGCAGCAATGAGGGGGATGTGGGGGATGAAGGGGACCAGGGTTGCTTCTCAGAGCCACAGCGCTGTGATGGCTGGTGGCACTGTGCCAGCGGCCGGGACGAGCAGGGCTGCCCTGCCTGCCCACCTGACCAGTACCCTTGTGAGGGTGGCAGTGGCCTCTGCTACACGCCAGCTGACCGCTGCAACAACCAGAAGAGCTGCCCCGATGGCGCTGATGAGAAGAATTGCTTCTCCTGCCAGCCTGGCACCTTTCACTGCGGAACCAACCTGTGCATCTTTGAGACGTGGCGCTGTGACGGTCAGGAGGACTGTCAGGATGGCAGCGATGAGCACGGCTGCCTGGCCGCCGTGCCCCGGAAGGTCATCACCGCCGCCCTCATCGGCAGCCTGGTCTGCGGCCTGCTGCTGGTCATCGCACTCGGCTGCGCCTTCAAGCTCTACTCTCTGCGCACCCAGGAGTACAGGTGGGCGGGCTCAGGCCATCCACGGCACGTGTGCACTTCTGGGGTCTGGGCAGCTCACCTTGTCCATGTGGAGGAACGGGGGCCCTGTGTGTCAGCTCCAAGGGGTTAGGCACTGGGGAACGATTTAGAGTCTCAGAAACCCTGAACAGGGTCGTGATGAGGTACAATTGACTCGATGTCAGTGAGTTTGGACCTTGGTTTGGTAAAGTCCCAAATACTTTGGGTTAGGTTTGGGGCTGCAAACGGCTAAGTCAGCAGTTCAAACCCTCCAGCCGCTCCTCTAGAGACAGATGAAGCTATCTGCTCCTATAAAGATTTATAGTCTCAGAAACTCTATATAGGGTTGCGACAAGTGGGAATTGACTCAATGACAGTGGGTTTTGGTTCTTGGTTTGGTGCCAGTCCCAAGAAGCCATAGAGATGCTGTGGCTTAGGCGCTGGGCTGCAGCTCCACAGGAGAAAGATGAAGCTTCCTGCTCCCATTAAGATTTACTGCCTCGGAAACCTCTACAGGGTCGCTATGAGCTGGAATCAACTTGATGGCAGTGGGTTTGGTTTCGGTGTGACTTGATGCCAGTGGCTTTGGTTTTGGTGGGTTTGGTTTTGGTGTGACTTGATGG